ACAAGGGACCCGATTGAGTGTTTCTTTGAAGAAAATTCACTGTAACCAGATCAAATGAGCTTGTTAATCCAGACACCCCAGGACATGGTGCGGGGGAGCAGAGGCCGTGCTCACCGCGGCTTTCATCCTAGTTTCTGGCAGCTCTCGGGGAAGCCAAGCCACGGAGCTTCCCCCACGGAGGGGGAAGGAGGGCAGGCTGGGGTCGGGCTGGCTGAGGAAGGGACTGCCCAGTGGCCGGCCAGCTCTGCCCGGGACCCGAGGCAGGTGGGATCCGTGGGTGCTCGGGACACTGGGTGGGCAACAGGGCCAGGCTGTGTCACCAGGAGCCGGTTTCCCCTCCTGGTTGGGAAGGCACTGGAGGGCCCTCTTCCCCTCCCCCAGGCCCAGGCCTGCTTCTGTCCCCAGAGCACAGGATTAGGCCTGGAGCTGCCAGGGCACTGACTCAGACCCAGGGTATAGACAGGGCCATTCAGAGTGTTGGCCAAGGAACTGCGGGGAGACGGTGTTGCAGGACCCATGACCCCCACCAGGCCCTGCAGAGCTGGTGCAGGAGGAAGCGGGGGCAGGGTTGGACACAGTCACATGCGTCAGGGTGACGGGGGCGCTCTCAGTCCTGCATACTAATTACATTTTTAATCAGGCAGAATGAGACTCCGGCATCAATCTGCCACGTAGCCGACTCTGAATCGTGCTGGAACTGACAGGAAGGTTCCGGGCGGTGACATCGGCTCAACAGTGAGGGGTGGAGCCTGAGCTGGGTCCCTTGCCCTGGGTGCAAGGGGCATTCCACTGCCCAGGCTTCCCAGAGGTGCCCCACACACCAGATGGCACTCCACACTTGATTTTATTCCCTGACATGGATTTGCAGAAAAGGCCCCATTCCCTGGCCTGGAGGAGGCAGTGGGGCCCGGGCAGAAGGGGAGCCAGTCTTATTGCTGGCCAGGTCTCAGCCTTTCTTCCAGCGCCATCCTCTTCCCTGCAGTTTGTTTGAAAACTGAGCTGCAAACATTAAATAAAATGCAAAACTAAAACCAAAAGCAAACCCTTGCATTGTTAAAATCCAAATTAAAAATCCCCCTTGGTGTCAACAGGTCCTGTTCCTAAAGCTAGTGGGGTGGGGCAGGAGGGTTGGCCAAGCTCGGCCCTCAGGTTCCTTTTCACACTCGACCTCCTCCTCCTCCTCCTCTTCCTTGGGGCCCAGGTGGCCCTGGTTGCTCGGCTGCTTCAGGACAGCACTATACTTGAGGGTCATGGCCACCCACAGGACCACCTCTACCAGGCTGATGATGGTGATGACCTGTGCAGAGCCCAGGCGTGAGGGGACAAAGATGAAAAGGACTGATGTCGAGGTGCAGCTTTGCCTCCGGCCCTGCAGCAGGACCCCCAGGACCCTCCCTTGGCCTCTGGGAGCCTCTGCTCGCCTGTCTGTAACGAGGGCCTGCTCCAGGATGAATGCCTCGGGTCAGTGCAGAGCTGAGGGAGTCAGAGGCATCCTGAGAGCTCCCAAGGCTTACAAAATGCAACCTGGGGGCCTGGGTCCACCTTCAGGGCACGTTGTTGGTGAAAAACGGTGCCCGACAATTTCTTAGGTGTAAACTCATAGCTTTCATCAAGTTCTCTAGAGGACCCCAAAAGGTCAGCACCCCTGCATTAGTGGGACAGGTAGAGCCCCACCTCTCTCCACTGTGGTTGTCCCTAAGGAAGGGAAGGTGGTGCCAGAAAGCAGGACCCTCAGGAAGGGTCTGGGTAAGCTGGGAGGGCCTGGGGGTCCTGAAACCCCACCCGGGAGGCTTCAGTGCTGGGGGAGCCCAGGGGGCATAGATGAGGGCAGGGGGCACCGCAGGAGGCAGGGGAGGGCTCGCCAGGACTAAGGGGGATGGGACACAGAGGGGGCCGCCTGCCCTCCCACCCTGGAGGGCTTCACTGCTTGGAGGCAGCCCTCCGCCCTCGGTGCTGGGCCCTGGCTGGCTGGAGGGAGCTTCAGGGAGGCCCTGCCAGGCCACCTGTGGCTGAAGCAGCAGGTGAGAGTGACCAAGGGCCAGGGGTGGGGACTGGGAAGGCCCGTGGCTCTGTGTGCTATTGTGGGCAAGTGGTGGGGGCGTCCAGGGCTGACTGCACTGAGGTGGGGACAGAGAACTGTGGTGGCAGAGCACTGCGCCCCCTGCTGGTGCCATCTGTCAGTGCAGGCAGGGCTGGGCCCACTGCAAGATGACCTAGGCTTGAACTTCAGGACACAGAGTCCCGAGGGTC